GTTTCTTTTGTGCTAGTTAAAAATTAGATTTATAACAAAAACGAAAATCCTCATTTTTACTTTTATTGTCATTTTACAAGTGCTTGAACAAAGAGATTTTCATAGAAGTAACAAATTTAACCAATCTTCATGGATACAATCCCTTTGCCATTATACGCAATAATGTGTGCAATATTAAGATAATTTATTTTTGTTGGTCTTGAAAACCACCACGCGTCGTAACCAATACATGGTCGTGTCGCGACATTCAGAAGTCGCGTCATGCTTAGCCAAAAAATCCTATTTCTCAATCTTATTTTAAATCAACTCTTACCTAGAAAGTGGGTGTTACATTTTGTCAGAGGACATTTCTTCAACTTTACCACCCACATCCTTACTCTGAGCTTGGTTAAAGTACTAAATTCTTTGGACCCCCCCCCTTCTTACCCCTTAAGCTTAGTCTCACCCTTACTATAACTACCCTCCTCCACAACTTCACCAAATTCACCTTCTTATAACTGAACCTCGTAATAACCTAGAGACAAAAGCACTGGAAGGAAGTAGGAAGATTATTAGGATGTCTGAAAAGGAAAAGTTTTATTGAGTTGAGATACTTGTCATCATTTGAAATAGTAGAATGTATTCTGATGCTAGATTGATAGATCATACGGTGATTCAAAATCCACAAATGGTTAAATTTATACTTTAGATAGTGGTGTTGTTTCTTAGGCGAGCAAGAAACAAACATATATAACGTACTCGACGATGGAGGTTGAGCTTATTGCCTTAGCAACAACAAGAGAATAGGCAAATTAGGTTAGAGATCTACTCTTGGATATTCGTCTTTGGGATATTCCAATGCCATTTATTCCCATGTATTGTGACAGTGAGGCCAAACTTTCTAAAGTATAAAATGTTGTGTAAAATGGGAAATCAATACATGTTGGTCTACGACACAATGTTGTGATACAACTAATTGAAAGTGGTGCCATCAAATTTGTATATGTTGTGAGAAGTAGGAATTTGGCATATCTACTTACCAACCCCTAACGAGACACTTGTTTACAACTACCATAAGAACACATGGGTATAAACCTATAATATAATCATTTAGTGATGGAAACTCAACTTCACTACTACCACGAGAGACATGGGTCTAAAACTATAATATAATCATTTAGAGACATTGGTTTAATCTTCATGACACAAGGTGAATTCCTCTGTATGAGAAAAAAAAATCTTTCGAACTTGGTGGGGGATTATTGGAAATTTAATGGCTAGTGCAAGTAGGAAAGTTTCCACTATCCCATATGGTGAGGGGAACATAAAGTATGTTTGTAAGGTTTTCTCTTATAAGCCTTCAAATGCTTTAGTGAAGGACACTAGATGAGTCAAGCCCACACATACACCTAGTCGGGCCGTGTACACGAGCTCGCGAAATGGCGCGATTTAGGTGCAATTTGTACTTCTTTCGTTGTATCACATGCTTGGAGGTGAATAACTTTTATTTGCCGCAGGTTTGAATCGAATCAGTTGGACTAACCTGATCAACGTGTCGATTATCATTGACTTCGTAGATAGTCAAAAGGAATCACATTAGATACCAAATAACGATATCATCATATATGAATTCAAATTGTCGTGTGGCAGGCTGGCAGCCCGCAAGAGGTCATAGTCCATTTTTTTTTGGGGGGGGGGGGTGGGGTTTAGGTTTCTATGTTTAGTATAAATAGGACCTCCCAAGTCCCATTTATTACATACAAGAAAACACAACCCTCTCCAATTATTCTTCTCCCCCTCTGCAACACAATATTCTTCATGCTTTTCGTGTCATCGTCTTTTGCATTTATCAGTTCTTCCATAGTTGTTAGAACGAACAATAGAACACATTAAATCCCAGGGTTTTAGGTCAACCTTAGTGCGATGTAAAGACCTTTAAAGAGAGGAGTGTAACTTTCCATGCAGTTTTTTCAGCAGTCAAGATCAACGATCATCATGTTGGTTTTAATTTTTTTGTTCTATCTTTTAATACGTTCGACAACGAGGCATTCTCTTTTTACCTTTCTTATAATTAGATACGATCATAAACGATCAATCTGTTTTCTTGACGAAACTCGGTAAATAATAATAATAATAATAATAATAATAATAATAATAATAATAATAATAATAATTATTCACAACTAATCGACATATAATTATCAATATTATTTGTCAGGTTTAATACTTTTCTATCTACGAAATACAACATATTTCACAATTTTTGGTCACTTATGGATTTGAACAATCTTTACACTAGATTTCCATTTTATGCCTAAAATTTAAAGTGCCATCTTGTGATTTCCTATATTAAATTTTATAAAAATAGAGACATATGATTGAATTAAAAAATACGAACGATGGAGTGTATAAAATTGAAAGACCCTAACTTTCGTACTAAATACATTGTTACTCCAAAACATGCTACATGCATATTTATAAACAATATTTTACATTGATAATTTGATTACAAAAGACTGGATACAAACCGACTAAGTTTTAGTATATTACATAACTACCCAGGATTTTATAATTTTATACATATTTAAACTCAAATACAAAAGTAATAGTATAAACTATTTTAAATCTTCCAACAATATATGACTATACTAGATGCTCATTACCTACAATTGTTAAACACTGAGAGGGGTAAGCGGTGACGCTTAGTGAGTTCAATAATAGATACAATATAACGTCATGTCATATATATACTTCAATATGGCAGATACAAAGGGAACAAGGAAAAGCATATGTGAATCATGCGACATGCTTTCCATAACAATCAATGAGACATAACCATTTCGATACTTGATAAACATCAATAACGCTTCGACCCAAATGGCACAGATGACATACAATTTCTGATTAAACATTTTGGTAGATTTCAGGCTTTCAGCCCTATCTAACCTTCTTCCAATGCCATAGTGGTAGAAGTCATTCTCTTACGAGACATGCTCTACACGCCCAGAGGCTACATACCAATACCATTGTGAATCTAAGTCCTTTCACTGATCACATGGCCAAAGGTACAACTTTGCTATCAATATAGCAGAAATAATAACACAAGATGATAACACGGAAAAGCACATAGCATATATAACACATAACATATAATTGTTCCTATATATTGAACTTACCGTGAAATAACCGGGGATTAAATTGGGTAGCACTTCGACTCTAAATATGACTTTCTGTGACGAAACCGGGGATTTTAGTTGAAAACCGGCCTTACTCGGGCA